TGTTCAATGTAATTTTATTTCCATATTATTTGTTGTTAAAACGATTAGTATGCTTATAAGTATCATATCAACCCCACACAAAAAATCACCATTGACGAACATACGAGTAATCAATGAATCCATAGTAAGTGCCAAACAAAAAATAGATCAACCTTTTCGTCTTATCGAGGAAGTTGAACGAGCAAAGATAGTTATGTTGCAACTTCGAGTGGTTCGCATGTTTGAGAGTAAATTTCCTAATTCTTATCATAACATCATATAAATTATTTTTCATAATATTGAGGTATAAGATTGTTTATTGTTTCTTTTATCTTTTCACTTTCATTTCATTATTTTTTTTGTGGAGACTTCTGACAAATACTTCCAGTCATTTCAAAGGGGAGTTGTTAGGATATTGTGAATGCAACTATTAATGCTTTCACCATTTGGAGGGACTGTACTGTGTTGCGACTTTCCAAAAAACATGCGTCTTCAAAACATTTCTGATTCGGACGAGCGTGACAAGGTAGCAACGTTTACTGATTGGATTGTTAGCATTGGAGATGGGTCTGTAGGAGGATCAAACGATGGTTGTACCTACATTAACATTCTAGATGTTACAAGACTGGAACCCGCCGATGATCCAATTGTTACAATCGTGAAAAGTACCTATCCAATGTTCAAGAATACAACTGGCAATTCAAGATATTTGAATGATAGTGCTCTATTAGCGCCTACTTTGGAGGTCATTGATTCTATCAATTAATACATGTCGGAGATGAATTCTGACGAAGGTCGTATGTATTTGAGCTCTGACATTATGTGGAAGTCCCACTCGAATAATGACTTTTTTGTTTTGGGCAAAATCTCAAAACTTCCGAGTTCTTGAATAGCATCAAGTTTTCAGGAACACCGAACCATGAATTGCATTCGAAAATTGGAACTCCAATCATGTTATTAAGGAACGTGGATCATTCTATGAGACTGTGCAATGGAACACACTTGGTTGTTACCAAGTTCTCTACTCATGTGCTTGAATGTAAGATATTGACTAGAGATCATGAAGGTGAGAATGTGTTGATTCCTCGAATGAATATGATACCTTCCGATGTTATGGTTCCTTTTACGTTCCAGTGTAGGCAGTTCTCCCTTATGATTTTGTATACCATGACCATAAACAAGAGTCAGGATCGTATATTTTCTTATTTTGGCATGCTCTTAATAAAATTGATATTTAGTCATTACCAGTTATATACTGTTGTTTTGGTATAACTAATATGAAGGGGTTGAAAGTATTAGTTTGTGAGGACGATGAGTTGCCCGACAATCAAACTAATGATGTTGTGTATAAGGAGGTTTTTAATAATGAATGACTTTTTCATGACAATTTTTTTATGATTACTTGACAAATGCTCTATGTATTATAACTTATTGATTAATAACCTTTAATTTATAACCTTCACCAAAATAAATATTGTCCGTGCATCGCACGGGTTACGTACTAGTTTATATAAATGCATAACGATGAAATATATTAAACACTTAATTATATACAACGTTCTTCGTCTTTGAGGTACTTTTATCATAACATATTTTAATATTTTCAATCATTTCCCATTTGTAATTCGTGAACATGAGACATAAAGTTGGTCATGCGTAAATACAGAGTTCTTTAGGTATAACGTTCATATAAATTACTCCTCAATAAC